CCCCTCCCCCTAATCTCGTTCTTACCTCGGTCTCAATTCGGCACTGGGATCTCCTCAGCCAAACGGTATGGTCATATATTATCCTCTTCGTTTCAAGGCTCTGAATGGGAACAAAAATAAAATCCACCTTCACAGATAATAACTGTTGATGTGATTCTTATCTGTTTATCTCTTTGATTTGATTTGATTTTAAGCTTGCAACGCTTAAAGCCTCCATTAAATTACAGTTATACTCAGAATTGAACAATTATCTGAAAAAGATTTTTTCTTTAGTTTGTTCTTAACTAAAATTTGCAATTTTTTTTCTAACCTTCAGAAGAAACAACAACTCCTTCTTTCATTGGTTACTGTCCAGCTCCGACGAATCCACCTGACGGCGTTTGTCCATCTGGTCGAAGCTCATGCTACGTTGATGATGATTGTTCCTTTGGATACAAATGCTGTCTTGATGGCTGTGGGTTTTCATGTCAACCAGCCGTCGATGGTGAGAGATGTTTGTTGGCTTCTTTTAAGAAATACTCACAAATAGCTGTACCACTTTTTTTTTGGCTGCTGATGAGGCAACGTTTTTTTTCTTTCTTTTTTGAGAGATGAAGGTGGAAAATCAATTTATAGGCTTGTTAGATGGACAGAGAAGAATAGATTACGTTGTTACCATTGTTCTTCTACTATTTTTGTTTTGTGCTTCTAGCGGATAATGTTGTTGTAGTAGTTGATGTGGGTTATGTTTGTGACAAAGGTGTTGGTTTTGTTACTAATAAACTTAACGAGATGACAGGGTAACATAATTAGCCAATTTTCTCGCGTGACGAAATTGACAGATAATTTACACATTATCATCATCATCATTTATCCGATTTTGCCAATATACGCCCGAGGTCATCAAGCTCTCCAATTCAAACCTCTATCCTTAACATTCCTGGTTTATCTTTCATTGCGCTGGTCTTCCCCAAGTAGTCTTTTTTCCCTTTTCGCCTCCTCCACTCTTGTATGGAAGAGCAGTTGTTTACACCCTCTTTCTTAGAGAAGTATGTTCACCTGTTCGATCTCCTTCTCCACACGTTATCGTATTTTAAAAACTCCTAAACATCGGTCTTATTTTGCGTTTACAGGACCCACCACAGCCCCTCCGCCTCAATGTTCTGAATCATTCGATCTGGTATTCGCCATGGATTCTTCCGGCTCCATTGGCAAAGACAACTACCAAAAAGAAAAGAACTTCATCAATGGATTAGCAAACAAGTTGGTGGTCGGTCCAAGGAACGTTCATCTTGGTCTAATAGTATTTAGTGACTCGTCAATTGTGTGGCTCAACTTTGGCACGCCTACGAGCACGAACTACTCCTCATTTTCCGAAGCAGCAGTAGACAACGCACCATACCTTCGCGGACGTACACGCATAGACAGCGCACTTCAGACGGCTGGCGACGTATTTCCCGAAGGGCGCCAAAATCAGGAGCCTCAGGTGTTGATTTTGATAACTGATGGCCGTCAATCGAACGATCCTGGGTCAGTACCTTTGAAAACAGCTGTGCAACCTTTACGCGATCAGGGCGTCAAGGTGCGTATCTTAGTCTTCTATCTTTTTAGGATAAAAATATTACCTAAGGTCCGACATGAGGTATTTTATTGTTCAAATTTACTGGAGAAGCATTTTTTTAAGCAATACCACTGGTTAATCGAAGTAACAAAAACATCCATTTGAGATCACTCGTGATTCTTAAAATCTAATTGACTCATAGCACTGCGAATTGTTCACTAATTTTTGCTCTAAAGAGCATATTTTTGCCCAGCCAATAATATTCGAGGGCCAAAGTAAAAGAACCAATCTGATTTTAAATTTACAGAGATGGAAAGTAGTCCAGACCGCGCTCTTTTTTTTTTCTTTTTTTTTTTTTTTTTTTTTTTCATTTCTTTTTCCTAATTTTTTTTTAATATCAATGACCAAAGCCTGTCTTTAATCAATTTTGTCGTTCTTTTTTTTAAATCAATGTAATGAAAAGGCACTGAACTTAACGTCCTACGATTTTGTCCAAAAGTGACGCATTTGATTTCAGACTAAACTGCGCTCCCGTCAATTCAAATATCAGTGATACTGAGTATGTAGTGGTTGAAAACTCTATCTACTATAGCTGAGCACTCATTATCTTGCGATAATTTGTTGCTTAGAGAGTGTTAACATCTGGAAACCTAGCTTGTGGTGTCATTCGAAAGACCCAGCTTCGCTATAAACTTTTATTGAAACTGGTATACACCCTTTCAGCCAATAAGATGATTATTTAATCTAATTTTTAGGCTATTTAGTAATGTTTTCAAGCCATAGAACCAAGTAAACTAATTGTAATGCAGCTAAACTGCTGAGACCAAATGTTGTATAAGCTTTCTATCTTATTTATAGCTTACTTGCCATTTTTCCTATATCTTGTATTAAAATCCTTTCTTTTTTTTTTGTCCACTTTTGGGAATATTTAGAGGGCAAATGCAGTAGCCGTAATTTGTTACTTTTCTTCGATTAAAAGAAAAAACTTCATGGTCCTTTCTCTGTCAGATCATTATTGTTGGAATTGGAGAAGATGTTGATGAAATAGAATTGAAATCCATCGTGGAAAACGCAGATGATGAACTCTTCCTTGTTGGATCGTTCCTGGAATTGGAGCCCTTGCTGAGAAATAAGAAGCTCAATGATGCCATCTGTTTACAAACAAGTACGTTGAAATCACCCCATCCGTTCTGCAGTGTTTGTGTCATTTGCTTGAACAAGTTTTAGCTTAAGCAAGCCTAAGCAACCAGCTTCTAGTTGTTTTTTAATGGGAAATTTCTTGCGCTAGTATTTCCTTGTTAATGGTGACAAGAAAACGCAGCTTTGTTTCGTCATCCTCCATTAGTTGATTGCTTCAGTCTAGACAGGTGTCAACAACTAGTGGCACCACACGAACGACTTATTCATACCATTTACACTATAACGACCTCACATTACTTACGGGTTGAAACTGACCATTTACGACCGACTTACACCACTTGAGCCTTATAGCCAATAACATCGCGGCCAAACTGGCCAATCAGTTTACACAAACTGGACTTTTAACACTCGACTGACAGCAACTCTCTACTTGACTCTGGTGATGACTTCTGCTCAAAACGTCAATCCCTACCACCAAAAACCGGACTCCACTCACCCAAACGATCAGATTACACGATAAATAATAAAGTTTGGACAATAAAAATTTGATATCGTGTTGTTATCAAACTGTTATATAAAAAGGACAAATGTAAAATGTATTCCTTGTCAAAAGTGAATTCTCTAACTGAGTTTTTATACTTTTTTTTAGTAGGTGGTCGTCGACAAAGGAACTTCTCGTAGGAACAAGGATAGAAATAATCGTGAACTACCCATAATAATTACTTTGTAACTATCAGCTATGAGCGTTTTTTTTCTGTCTGTAGGAAGGTTTTAGGAATTAATATGCTTTTAACTTATGTATGTTGTCTTTTATCGCATTTACAGACGCTTAAGGAAATTATGAAAAGCTTCCACAAATTAGTGAAAAGCAGTGTCATCCCCGTTTTAAAGGTCGTGCGTGTTCGTTTTAACTAATAAGTAAGGAAGACGATCTTCATCGTGGTCTTCCTTTAATGCCACTGCAATTTTGCATTTCATAGAAACTGGCCATCAAAGTAATCACTATCTATGTAGGTAGCTTTGAATTAACCAGCACGAATAAAGTCATTGATACTTGTATTTTCCTTTGTAAAGAGAACTATTCTTCTCTTCAGAAGCTGTTTCTCTATTTTTCTTGGCCTTAAGTTCCCTTAAGTGTTGGAAGAAAGAGAGGGTTGCTCTTCCCCAACGTGCGTCTATGTGTTAATGTGTTGCGTGACTTTTAAGTCGTTACGGCCTGTGAGTCACAGTTTTAGGTTTTATTTTCTCGATACATGTGAATTATTTTATGCCATAATAAACAAGGGGAATAAAAAAGACTGGTTGTAATTTGCAATTACATCATAAATATAGAAGAAAAAAATTGAATGGTTGAAAAATTAGCACAGCGCGTTAATTAAAATCATAAATTACACTCCATTCAGTTCAATTACCATTATTAAGCGCTCTTATTAATGAAAAACAATTATACGTCAGTAACTCACCACTATGATTAGTGTACTAATATTAGTGCCTCATAACCCTGCCTTCTGCGGTCCCGCCGTTCGGCCGAGTGACCTAATCGAGCCTCCTGAGATTAACTTTGTATTACAATGGAGATCTTTTCATCCCTTGAAATCATCCCCTCTTTTCTACTAGTCTATCATAATGACTATCAATGTCCTTTTATGAATTTAGTGTATCCCGCTTTTCCATGAATTAAATACAAACCTTTGGAGTAACAAAACTCAAGGAATGCGTAGATGACAACATGAAATAATTAAGCCTCTGTATCGGTTCCCTTTTGTAGTTATCACCATACAATCGTCTGATAATTGCTTTCAAAACATAATTTTCTGTCTAAATCTAACGCTCGTGGTTTGTTTTTTCGTCTTCACTTTTTTAATCTACCCTTTCGCCACCTTCCTCGACAGTTAATACAGCTTAACTAACTTTTCCCTCTCTGTTCATTTAATTTGATTAATTTCTTTATTTTTTTTGTCTTTTATTTGTAAATTATTTTCCTTTCTCCACGTACCTGCTGCCACCGGCGACTTACAATGTACGAGAAGTTAGTAAGAAAACCTCTGGTTTATTTAGCTCCCCGTTTCAAAAAATTATTTTTACCATTTTATTTTGACCTTATCCATCAGATTGACCTATGCATTGAGCTTGAAAGAAACACAAAATTCCGTCCAGGGTTGTGGGAATTGGATTCTGATGGATCTAAAAGTTTCTTCAGTTTAGCGCTTTGGAGAAGAGAAAGTTTTGTTTTAATCTAACGTTCGACATATGTTTGTTTCCTCTTTTTATACTCTACTCCTGCCATTAGGTTGACTAATGTATTGAGATTGGAATAAATATAGAACCCTGTCCATATTTGTAGGAATAATATTCTGATAAATGTGGAATTTTTTTTTTCCGTGCGGAATAACCTGAAATTATAAACCGTCAGCTACGTGTTACTCATTATATCTTGCGTTACCCACTCGAGAAGTCTCGATACTCGAGAGTTATCTCTCATCACACTCGACGAGTAGTGCCTCGTTTCTCTCGTGACTGACCTTCAGACCCCTCGCGGGATTTCGTTTCGCAAAACGTGTCTCGCGTTCCTCGCGACATTATTCTCATCTCTCGCACGTAACACCAAGTTACTCGAGGAGTCCTCTCGTGGAGTGCTGGAGAATAACCTATTTCAAAGTCAAGACAAACGAAAATCAAAGATTTTCGATACTTCCCCTCAAAAAAAGAATTTCATTGAATTCACTTGCCAAAATAAAAGATTAAACGTAGAATTAAGAGAACAATTTCAACTGCATGTGTGGGATCCCTTTGCCTTCTGTCCTCGAGGAAATTATTTAGTACCGGGCTCATCGTAATAACAATTACGCTTATGTCAGTGAGTGCGTCTTTCCTTGATCTAGCACGGGTTTGTTAACGAAAAAAATTCCACAAGTTGAAAGTAAGAAACTTCTGCCGCTAGCTCTGTTTACAGTTTAATTACAAATCCTTGAACTTTCACCTCCGTGAACAGCGTGCCCGTGTATGTGACTTAATCCGAAAAAATAAACTTAAACCTAAAAATAATCCCGCCTGAATAATCAGAGGGGATTTCCTGTTGATCCATATTTTTTTTGTACGATACCTGAGATTTAAATCTAAATCTATGCTGTCTAACGACTCGTGAATGAGTAAAAAGTCAGGCAACCTCCATAGTCAAAATAGTTTTGTTTTTTCGAAAATTCTTTAGCATACTATGCTATACTATTAATACTATAAAGGGGCATACTCTATTCTATTACATGAATATGTAAAATATCTAAAAGTCCTTTGTATATTTTTACAGCTATAATCTAATCCCATCCCCAATTTATTTCAGCTTTTTTGGACAAATTTCCATGTTGGCATAGGACCAAATTTGAAACTGAAATGGCTTATCCGTATTTAAAGTTTAATTTTAGCTTCGAAAAGAACTTCCAGAAAATTCGTGTCACGTACATTACAGGCAGAAACGACTCAATAATTCCCTCTACCTTTAAAAGGTCAAAAATAAGCTGGTCGAATCACATTACAGTGAAAAACGTGTGTCGCACGAATCCAGTTTTTGGACTTTAGGGGACTTGACATAATAAACTTGTTTGCTTCTTTAAGGTTTTGAATTAGTGGCCCTAGCTTTCGTTATGTCATTGTCAGACCCCTTACAGCTTTTATTTCCCTCTTTACAATTTGCATACCACTTTAAACTTCCATTTCGTGTCTTTTTGCAGACTTGTATCTTGTATCTCGGTGCAAAACAAGAAATAACAACAATGAAGTTTTAGTGGCGAAAGCAGATCTCATAAGAGCCGAAGAGACATTCATTTTGCCTTTATTTTTATTTGTATTCATAGCTTTCCTTTGTTTGGTTTTTCAGTGTTTCCTCTCTTTCTTCATCTCTTTTCTGAACAAAGTTTAAAATTATAAATAATATCGCCAACAGATCCACCGCCATCAAGAACATTCTTACGACACGACTAGAGCCGGAAGTAAAAATAGTTTATGTAACATCATGGAATGATTCTTAGCTTATCTCGTGTACAAAGATCAAGGGTGTACCTGTTGTTCATAGAAGAGAATCAAGCATCAGTTGGTACCTTATGAACTTTCTGGAGAAAACGCCTTATTTCAGCTGTTTAACCCTTTAATGCCCAAGATCTCATTAGTAATTCTCCTTACTGTCTGCCATACGATTCTTATGATGCTAGTTCTGATAATTTGGTACTGGATCAACTAGCAAATCCTCAAACTTATATTTTTCTGGAGAAAACACCTTATTTTAGCTGTTTAACCCTTTAATACCCAAGATCTCATTAGTAATTCTCCTTACTGTCTGCTATACGATTTGTATGATGCTAGTTCTGATAATTTGGTACTGGATCAACTAGCAAATCCTCAAACTGATATTTTTCTTTATTCTCGTCATCTGTCTGCTTGACATCGTATTGATATCGTAAGGAGAAATTCTGTCCTGGTCACTCATGGGAGTTAAAGTTATTAATATAAAGAAACAGTCACTCTATTTTTTGTGGAATGAAGAGAGACTGGAGGCTGGCTGGAGACTTTTTATGCACGGTAGCTGAGAGTCAACCGTGATCAAATCTTTTAATTTCTAAAACAATATTTGATATTTCCAACAGAGCCCTGATTGGCTTCTCTAAGAATTTCTGATGTCCTTTCCTTTAAATTCAGCCTCCCTCCTCTCCTCAGGAAATGAATGTTCGAATCGTTTCTAGGCGGTTATAAATATTACCTTCAACTTCTCAATACTTGGCCGCCTTACAATTGCCGTATGAGCACGGAGTTGGCTAAGCAGTATCCACAACTTTTGAGCAGCAATAATTCTCTTGCCCCTATCTCGGAGATTTATCGCTGTTAGTGAAGTTTGTGGAAATTTAGATATCACCGGTTTATTTTCGTTCATTAATGTATGTGATACCAAAATTCATTTAATATCACAAAGCGAAAATTAAACTATACTTGACTTGGTGACAGAGATAGGTGTGAATTTCTCCGATCGTCAGATAATTGATCCTAAATTCACAGTCATTTTGAGCGTTTGATGAAATATTTCTTTTTTTAGTATCCACATTAAATTTCCAACTTTTCATTTGCTTCAAAGCCGAAGTCAGTAAAAAAGAGCCTCTCAGTTTCATGAATAAGCATTTGATATTTTCTTTATTTACTCCCACTGTTTCCGGCCAAACCTATTAAATATCACAATCTGTTGTGTAAACGAAGATCATCACGAGCTTACAGCCAAAAAAACGCTCTCTTTCGTGCGGTTAGTACTTATAAGCTTGATATCGCTTATCGGACTTGCGACACACTCCTGGTGGGTCTAATTAACTGGGAGTTGCAAATCCTCTTTTCGCAATCCTTTTTTTTTATTTCATGTCTGTTTAAAATCACGTATCTGTTGAACGCCTGGAGAAAGAAATTTACTCAGCACGTAATCGGTGGCATTTCCAACCCACACCACCACCCGGGGTGACGGGAAATATTTCACGCAAAGGACGATTTCCGCGCTTAGCCGTATACAGACAACAAACATAGATTCTGCACCTTGGAATAGGACGCACGGTCAAAAACGCTTCCCAAGAAACATAGATGACGTTTTAATGTAAACGGACTACTACAGTAATGAAGACATCATCTGTCGTTGTGGGGACATTGCTGTTGATTTTTATCAAGATCAGGATCACACAAGGGCAGCAGCTGCAACGTAAGTGACGCACCGTCTGTTTCTCCTTTGACATGTGTACATAAATTTGTCTGAAGAATTTATGAGTCTAACGTTAACGTAATGGCAGTAAAGCATGTGTAGTGGCAGTATAGCGTACTTTGCAATCAGGGTTTTAACTGTTACATAATTCTCGCATGAATTTTCCTTCTTCGGACTGTAGCGGTTTCATATACGTTTATGATATCATTTTGCAGGATTTAAATATGGCGGCAGCATAAGTTTCCTCGGTGGCCTATAACTTTGATAGATAGTGATTTATAACTTTAAGAATGTCCTATGAATTATAAAAGAGTCGACCGGCAGTATTTCTGCACAATATCCAAGGTTTCATTTCAACTGGAAACCGTTCCTGTGTCTCAGTTCGTTAAATAATAGGCTTGCTTGATAATTACTTTTCAAATATTCAATACCGATAAGGAAAAAAAATTTCTTTTTTAATTAATCTTCTGGATTTGAGTCGCAACTTTAAGAAAGCATTAATGAGTAAATCGGGCTAATCTGCAGAGTATCCAGCTACTTATTTGTATCACTGCATATCTGGCATTTGACTCATTTAGCTCTTCAAAGCCACCGACGACGTACTCACCTACACGCGATATACTCGCGTTCCAATGTCACGTACGAAGTTTTTTTCGTCAATATTTATCTCACAGTTAACCCTTTACACCACGACATCAGTATGCATATTCTCTATACAGTTACCTAAACATTCCTTGAGGTACTGACATGGAGAATTTGTCTAACAATCGAGATTTCTTTAGTTTGTGATCATTTCTTTAATTCTCGTGACCTAAATGCTTGATCAGATGTGATATCGTTGGGAGAAACTCGATGCTACTCATTCTTAGGGGTTAAAGGGTTTATGAGCACTTACAACTATGGCGGCTCAATTTACGAAGTCACACATTATCACTTTTAAATCTGCACAACTTAAGTTTCTTCAATTGAAAAGTAAGATCTCGGTTACCGGGCAAGAAATTTACCCTTACTAAGGAACACTCCAGCTTTGTTCATGCAGTTAATAAATCTATTAAAATTCCCCATGCCTGACCGCCATTGCCCGCATTAGGTGTGCGAAGATTTACAAATTAAACAGGCGACCTTTCAATCCATCAAAACAAATACAATGCAACATTTGTCGTCGGGCTTTCATCGCCATTTGATGATAACTGATTTTTTTTGCTATACATAATTCATTTTGTTCATACAATATTTCTCTTCAACAACATATAGCAACATATTTTCCATTCAAACAACTTTACTCCTTAATGTCATGTGTATTTTTAGTGTTAAGAGGTGGAAAGCAGAAGGTGAAAAAGGGATATAAATTGCAATAACTGCCTTCTCATTCCCATGCTCTTGAAATTTAAACACGCACCCTCCATCAACACAGGCTTGCCCCACTTTAAAACCAGGCGTAAATATGTCTACAAATAATTCAGAAGAAAACAAAGCGAAAATCAGCTGAAAAGGCTTTTCTGGAGAAGCAAAGCTTGACTTAAAGTCTAACTCAAAAGCCTAAATTCTTCTCTCTCCTGTTCACTGTTTTGGACACACGTCTGCCAACCTTTCCTCGAAAAAGATGAAACTTAGGCTGAAACTTGACTTTATTCCTGGCTTTAACCCCCCCCCCCCCCCCCCCCCCCCCCCCCCACTTCTCCTCCTCCCCCTCCCCCTGGCCAGCCCGGCTTGAAAACCCATTGGCTATTTCTGGACACGTTTTGGAAATTTCAAGCAGGACTATCAATCGCGATTTTCGAATACAATGATTTAACGAAAAGTTTTGTAAAACGTAGCTTGCTATACAATGCTTTCGAACCGGGAATTTAGTTTTGAAGTTGCATTTGCTATGTTACTTTTGGAAAACGGTAATACGAATCTGTTATTCCAGTTGTATAACTTCAAAGGAATTTCGTTTTATTGGCTCCTTATGTTTTGCATGCGGTTCGCCTTGACTTTTTCGTGAGATTATTGCTATAAAGTTATTCAATTTACAAATACACAATAATTCCCAACTCATAATATGATATACTTATAGAATAACAAATACCTATAGAAAGTTTCTCGATATTCCAAAGGTATACGTGAAGGAAGATGTCCGCCAATAAGGAGGCGAACTGACTGCCCGGCCTTCGTATGGGACGAGTGTACCTGCGACTCTGACTGCTCTGGGAAGCAAAAGTGCTGTCTTGACGGATGCAAGTATGCATGTCTTGATCCAGGTAACCAACCATTAACTTAAACCAGAGGTGATAAGCATGTAACTTCGCACCACAACATTGATTCTCTATTGAAGAAATAAGATAATAGGTATAGATAAACTAATCAACTTGAAATTGCAATTTGGATATCATTCTTTTGGAGGGCTCATCTTCTACAAAAGGAAAATGTGGCTCATCAGTGACAAAAGTTGCTGTGGCGGAAAGAATGAATCGATTGGGCTTGAGGTACACTGAAAATATACTAAGAGATCTGACTGCCGAATCAAAATAAAGTTTGTTTCTCGTTCGCCAGAATGGTCAGATCGAGGTTGACAGGGCTTATTAGGAATCACCAGCCATCAAGTGAGCTGTCGATCCATTGATTGTCACGGAAGGGTGACTTACCCTTAAAAATGGTGGCGTTTATCCAAAGGGGAGAATTAAGGTTATATCCTTAGCCAAAATACCAAGCCATTGTCATTTTAACGATTATTTGGACACACAGCGATAGAAATAAAATATTTTCCCTCGCTGAACGCAGGGGATCTGTTGAAATAAGTGAACAATCCAATTCTAAATTTTCGTGGCAGAGCTGAATAACATTTGAGCACGTCGCAAATATGCTAATGAATCCACAGTAACATAACACCTCACTATGAATGGTGTTACTTCAAAAAAAATAATAATAAATAATAATAAAGATAATAACAAATAATAATCATGATAATAATAATACATTTATGGATCCTTTCTGGAAGTAAAAGGTTCAGCAATTTTCTCTTTATTATGAACCTGTTTTTTAGCCAAGGTTAGCAAGTTTTTCGTTTTTCATATCGGTGAGCTGACCTTCATTTTCATATTGCTTTGCTTCATTTCATGGAAAGACGAAGGAACGCCTTCTGTCAGAAATAAAGCCGATGTAGTGTTCATAATGGACTCGTCAGGAAGCATTGGACCTGATGACTACAATCGCGAAAAACAGTTCGTCAAAGATCTCACGAATGTGTTTCAAGTCTCTCCTACTGAGGCCAGAATCAGTACCATCATATACAGCGATGACCCAAAACTCATCTTCGATTTTGACACATTCAACGATAAGCAAAGTATCAACACTGCTATAGATGACCTGGAGTATTTAGGAAACAGGACGCGGATCGACAAAGCACTGGCAATGGCCATGGAGGTGTTTTCAAAATCTCGTCCAGCTGTGCCCAGAATTGCATTTGTCCTCACCGATGGAAAGCAGACTGACGACTATGATGCGAAACCGCTGGACATAGCTGTCCGACCGCTTCATGACTTAGGCGTTCACGTTTACGTCATAGGGATTGGCACTTACGTCGACCCTGAAGAACTCAGACTCCTAGCAAGAAGACAAGAAGATGTATTCACCGTGAATTCTTTTGAACTCCTACTCCAACAGACATATCGTATTGTTAATCGAATAGACACCTACGGTGAGTTTGCTTCATTTTACGTTTTAATTTATTCATTTGTTTTCTCGGTGAGGTAGGTTAAAAACAAATGTTCATTTGTTCTAATAAGCTCTCGTTGAAATTATATACGTCTGGGGCTTTCAAAGGGAAAGGGGCTTAACTGAACGCGAAATTCGATTCGTTATCTTCCTCTGAACTGCATGCGATATTTATGAAATAGCACGGCTCCACTTTCGGTTCGTGTTTTGCCCCGTTCTACAAAGCAATACCGTGACATATTTTGTCCATTCCGTTGCTATAAACTGGCTTAATAGTGAAATGATCATAAGTTGTTATTTGGGGAGCTCCATGATGTGCTATTATATATGCTCGCCACTTTGAAGATTCCCTCTTTAAAATTCAATGGTTTACCAACATAAGGTCCTAAATTTTGTTGTTTTTCTCAGATGCAATTCCACCATTGGAGATCACAGCCGATATAATGTTCCTAGTAGATTCATCTTCAGCTATCCCTAGAGCAACGTATGGAGACCAATTAAACTTTCTGCAAACAATTGTTAACCAATTCAGAATATCACCTCGTTATGTTCGAGCGAGTGTCATCTCATACGGAAACACTGCACGGCTGTCCATACCATTCGGGACGCGTACAACTAACGCAGCAATGAATCGGTCCATCGACTCACTCCCATACGTTGGAGGCCAGAAACGAATTGATAGAGCATTATGGCTGGCTAACCAAACGTTTTTGCAAGCCAGACGTTTGGTACCCAAGATTCTGCTTATTCTAACCCATGGTGGACAACTGGCGGATGTTGGCACCAACTTACGGCTCCCTGTCAAGGCTCTTCGTGACCAAGGCGTCAGTATCTTTGCAATCGCCATTGGTGATGGGGTGGATTATTCAACGTTAAACTACATTGTTGAAAATGATAATCTCATCGTTGACAAGTCTTATAAGAGCTTGGAGCCATACCTTCCACCGGCAGCTAGTTACATCAGAGTGAAATCAGGTGAGGTAGAAAAATGCTGTAAGTCAGTTAATTGCCACCGCTTCGTTTGTACGAAATAAATAGGATTTTTAAATCTTATGACGCCTGGTAGCAATGGTTACTTGATATAACGGGCATTGAATGAACAGTTTTAATTCTTGGAAAATCAGGATTAGTCAGCGAGATTAATCAAATCCTAAAACTGACGGGCTTTTCATTGACCCAAAATAGGTTTTTTTTTGCTCCCGTAATAACGGGGAATTAAGTTCGAAATGTAAATTTGTGCTGACAAAAGATCTCGATGAACCTCTTATTTAGAGTCAATCACGTCCCTTATAACCATTTTCCATTAATTTTATTTAGATTTCTCAACTCCGTTGAGTAAAGATGCTGCTGTTGTCTTCCTTGTGGACACTTCTGAAGAAGTAGAAACGATGGATTTCAAGCGACAAAGAGAGTTTGTCATTTCCTTAGCGAAGGCTTTCGAGATTTCTGAAGAAGGGGTGCGCGCAAGTGTGATAACATACGGCAAGAACAGTCGTCCAACCGTGCAATTCAAGGACTCTTCGGATGTCGACAAATTTATAAATGCAATGATCAGAACCAGTCAAATAAAAGGACGTCGAATGATAGACCAGGCCTTGATTATGGCAGCCCGCATGTTCCGCCATCATGACGAGGTAGCACCGAGGGCGGTGATACTATTCACATCAGGCCCTCATGCGGGTACACTTGACCAATTGAAAAGCGCCAGCAAAAGTGTTACGGACTTAGGTGCGCTAATATACGTTGTTGCCATTGGTCCCTCAGTGGCCAACAGCCAACTCGAGGAACTGGTGAGCAGTTCTGATGACATCAAAAGGTTACCTTCGTTCATGGATTTGCAGTCTGAAATCCATTTTGTTGGGAGATACGTGAGCCTACAACAAGGTTAGAGACATAAGTTGTCTTAAGAGTCAGATGGGCGAGACACGATATTTTATTACCGCAAAATCTCCATGAAGATGTTGTCGCTATTGAGTGGACTGATGCTTAACAACCAACCTATTATGATGACCTAGGGAAAATTAGTATATATAAAATCGATGACCGCTTTCTCAGTATAACGTCTAAGAAAATTATTCTGTTTTCAATCTAAGCATCTTATGTAATCCCCTTTTTCACCGTAAAAGGTATCTCCACTTGTAATTAAAAATATTTCCCTATCCCATCGCAATACCATATTCATCTTTTTTATTGCGTGTACTGACTTCAAAAAGTAAGAAATGAGAAACAGTTAATATTACCCTCGACTCCAAAGAACAGGTTTCACTTACAACCCGCAAAAACAGTTAAAGAAGTAGGATTTGTAAGATACTCCTAAAGTACATGTTTAAGGAGAAATGTACTTCTCTTGTGGCATTCAGTCATGTAATTCTCCCTGAAGAACTTCTAAAAGCCACCCTGCCAACTTAAGAAACCAAAGTATTTATCATTTGTGAACAAACTATGTGTCAACTGAACCTGGATAACCTCGTTTTTCTTATTAAGTTCCAGGACCTGGTTTTATAGCAGATGTCGTTTTCCTAATTGATGCGTCCTCTAGTGTGGGCATCGTAAACTTCCGCAGGCAAAAAGACTTTGTTAAAGCGGTAGCCCAGGCCTTGAACTTTGGAGAACAAGCCACGAGGGCCAGTCTAGTAGTATACAGTAGCACAACGAGGCAGGTTACGGACTTCAATAGCCACAGGACACTGGGAAGGTTTAACGTCGCAGTGGACGGGGCGCCCTATTTGCGCCGTGGGCGGCGGGTCGACACAGCATTGATAAATGCAGCTCGGCTGCTTTCTAGGGCACGACCGGGTATTCCCAGGGTAACAGTTCTCATTACCTCAGGGAGGCGAGATTCAGGCACCCCAATCAAAGACATAAGTAGACAACTGGAACTTGTCGGGGCGAAGTCATTTGTGGTTACCATTGGTGCTCTGCCAGATTTAAGGGACTATTTGGTTCTTAGCAAGCAAGAAGACATCTTAAGACTACAGTCATTCGTCGATCTTCCCAGAAAACAGAAGTCGTTTTCGCAACATATAATTTCTTCCTTCGGTGAGCGATCAAGTTCATTATATTTAATCATAACTCACAATATGAGTGGTTTAAGAATTGTTTTGTTGAACAAATTTCTGTAAATTAAGAAAAGAGTGATTTCCTTTATTTATTTTTATTCTTGAATTGATTACTTTGACTCGAGCTTGGGCAACGAAATCCTTATTGAAGTTTAGCTCTGTGCAGCTTCATCGAATTTCAAAAGAGTTGGAGAAACGTTGTAACGACCTTGGGTAAAGAGATCAAAAGATCCAAACAGAAATAAAGAAGAGAAAGATTTTCCATACCCAAACAAGGACACGATAGACAAGGATTTAGATCAGGGACCATTTGAGAACAAAACCAAGGAGTGTAGGAATAAAGGTTCTAGTCAATAACTATAAAAACACAAGACCAACATTCAACCTTGTTTCATTTCGCCGGATTCTATATTAATTTATGTTTAGATCAGCATTTCAAATAACTTCGAAACGTTTGAGTGATCAGAGTACACAGCATCCCCAAAGGTAATACCGCTACATTATGTGATACCAATAAGATAGCATTCTATACGTTTGTGCTTTTTGTAATAGGATGAGTTGTCTTGTGCAACAAAGGGTAAAACTATTTTCAAACCCTTTTTATGATAATTATCGAATGCTTCTGTCTTACAGATGTAAAGGAGCCAACTCCAACTCCAACTCCAAGTACACCACCTGATAAAATATCGCTAAACTTCATAGCAGATGTAATTTTCATCATGGATTCCTCTTCTTCTGTGTCTTCACGAGACTACAGTAAAGAAAAAGAGTTTGTCAAATACCTTGCCACCTACCTTAATGTTTCACCAGGGAACTCGCGCGCAGCCCTGATAACTTACGGCAATGCCGCGTCTGAGGTTATCGAATTCGACATCAAACGACTGCGAGCAGACTTTGAAAGTGCAGTTGAAAAAGCGCCTTTTGTGGGGCGCAATAGACGAATAGACCGAGCTCTTGAGAAAGCATCCCAGATGATGGCCAACGCTAGGCCTTGGGTTAGGAAGATAGTTATATTGTTGACCTCCGGAAAGCAATCTCGAGAGTCTGGCAGCAAAACACCTGGCGAAGCAGCAATTCCTCTCTTAGACAAAGGAGTTTACAACTATGTTGTGGCAATAGGCCAGGAGCCCGACATCTCTGAGCTACGGCCCGTGGTGCAGCAGCCAGCGCAAATCTTCCGGATGACTTCCTTTGACGACTTGGAGCCCCGAAAAACGACGGTTGGAGGAATTATCGTGGAAACGTCAAGTAAGTTTTATAAATTTCGGGTAATTTCAGTCATAATCTCCTCATCTATACGCCTGTTACTTTGCATTTCGTCTCTCAGGTCCAACTAAAAGTATGCAAAAACTCCAAAACTTCATTGTTCGCAAGCTTTCTTTAACGAGTTCTTTTTAGTTTGAATACAGTTGAGACAGACCATCTATAAACGTAGCAATGATGAGCAGTAGTAAATGCAGAAACATTTCTTTAGTCCCTTCGGCTTCTTCAACCTTTGTTACTTACCTTAATGTTTCGGTAGTGATATCGATGGTGATACGTCTGCAATCTTCTATGTCAGAATGGTCGCAAGAGAGATGATCCTCTCTTATGGGTACTTAAAGGGATCACATTATCGAACTTTTGTGAAGTTCTACTGTTATTGTCCTTAAAACCTGTAAATACCTAAAAAGCGTGTGATGCATGGCGTAAAATAATTGATCTCTGTCGTTTTTTTAAAAGCAATCGAGTATCTCATATTGACAAGAGAGTATCTTTTAATTTCAGCTGGACCACTAACAGATATCATCGCTGATATCATCTTCATTTTGGACTCATCCAATGATGTCACGCGGGATGAATACAATAAAGAAAAATCTTTCATCAAGGAATTTGCTAGATACCTGAATGTCGCGCCTGGAAAGTCGCGTGCTGCAGTCATAACTTACGGCCAAAGCTCTGACGTATTATTCAAATACGGCGGTTATGACTCGCTGACAATCTTCGACGTCGTCATCAACAGAGCATCGTACATCGGAGGGACTCAGAGAATGGACCTCGCTTTAGATGATGCAGGCCGTTTGCTAAGCGAAGCCAAGCGTTGTATCCCTAGATGGGTCATTTTGTTAACTGCAGGAAGACACCCAAGTGACCCGAGAGTAAAATCTTTACTGGAAGCGTCAAAACCCGTGAGAGATCAGAGTGACAAGGTTTATGTTGTTGCTATAGGCAATAAACCAGATCCTAAAGAACTTAAAGATATAGTTAAAGACCCCAAAGACATATTTTCAGTTGGTTCATTCCAAAGTTTGAAGTCTCAAGCCAGAGTGATTGCCACTACAGTTGCAAACAGAAGTGGTAAATAGATTAATTTATCTGATCAGATTCAACATGTCTTTTTTGCACATCACTAAGTTAATCTTTTTCCTCATTTCAAGCGTCCTAAGGTAACTCGTGATAACTTCGTCGAATTATCCGTCAACTTTCCTTGTAAAAGGAATTTAAAAACTTGCGTTCTACATTAGACTAGCCTTCAAATGTTTTGCATAAGGTTTCTCTGACCTTATTCTTTTGCTTGCAAACAAAATGTGACTTTTCCCTAAAATATTTATTTGTTTGAAGTCTTGTGATTGCTTTGTTTTATTTGATGGTCCTTTTCTTCCCATGATAAACCGTTTCTGTGAACCTTTTCCTTCAAAGTTTATACATACCGTCTGATTAAGGCAAACTAGAAGAACTCACTTTTTTACGTTGCCTCTCACTCTATTATTTTTTCGAGACGTGGATCTCTGTGTGATCAAGACTTTCCAAGCCACCATAGTCTTCCTCGTGGACACGACATCATCGATCGGAACCTTGGATTTCAGACGCCAAAAAGAATTTGTGAAATCCGTGGCTAAATCTTTTAACGTTTGTCAAGACAGCTCTCAAGCGGCGATAATCACATATGGCTCGTTGACGTCGCAAAAGCGGCCGACGGATATCTACAAAGATTTGTCTGCATTCGAGCAAGCAGTGGATAAGTCACAATACATGGGTGGACTTCGCAGGTTACACCTTGCTATCGACACTGCAGAACAATTGTTACGAACAGTTTCACCTAGCCAAAAAAGGATTGTTGTGATCTTGACAGGAGGACAACCTCTGATACAGGATGCCTTGTCGCTGAAACAATCCTTCAAGACACTTCGTAATGCTGGAAATGGAGCGTTTGTCGTCGCCATAGGTAACAACTACGATAAGGATGAGTTTCTTCCCGCTGTTGATTGGCCAGAGGACATTTTCAGCGTTTCTTCATTTGATAACCTTTTGCCACGGGCCTGCTCAATTTCGAAAGCGATTGCTAAGAGAACAGGTAACGAATGGGCTTTGTTTTCTACTGATAACGAACTGACATCATCCCTAATTTCAACTTCATATCGATCTAGACATTACAATACAGTTCCTAATTAATTTAATTATTTGAATTTACCAGTGGTCAAGATGACTAATCGAGAAAGCTAATCTTCTGATTTCCATGGAAGGAATGTAAGGAACCAAAAATGGCTACGATTGGATTATTTTGCTGTTGGTTTTTTCATTGAGTTTGTTTGTTTTATTTTTTATTTTCGTTTTTGGTTTTTTTTTGCGTACCCTTAAGTTACCATGGCTGTTAAACCTGAATTATGGAAAGCACCTCCAACTACACGAAAAACATTGCTCATTCCATGATGTTGTATTACCATTTTAATTGACCGTTTCCCAACAGTTTATCACAGCAATAGATTTACATGTTTGATATGAATTAAAGAGGCGCATGTTCAAACGTGTTTTTTATCACTTTAGATACAGATATCCCGCGTGACTTTATGGCTGACGTAATCTTCATTATGGATTCCTCCGTCGATGTTTCGCGTGCAGACTACGAGAAAGAAAAAGATTTTATCGAGTCCTTAGCAGGTTACTTGAGGTTATCCACAGGTAGAACGCGAGCAGCGGTGCTGACTTACGGTTACACTACGACCCTTGTAGCTGAGTACGACAGTTATGAAACACTACAAACTTTTAACAGTGCTGTGGATGGAGCTTCTTATATTGGTGGTACGGTGGTTTTACTTAGGGTTACGTCTTACCTTTTAGCTGTCTCGTTGAACGCATTGAGATCTAAATTCTCATTTCGTAAGAAGCCACAGTATGTTAATCTTTTCTTTGCAATCCGGCAGTGAATGAATTTGTCAGGAACAGATAAAAGCTGTTTGAATTCTTGTTATGATATCTCCAAGGAGCCGAGGATATGACCAAATGTTCTATAATAACTGGATGGGCTCATCAAATGAGGCCTGTGAAATTAGTTTGGAACAATCTCAGTAATATCTGCCGCGGAACAATTCATTTCGTTAGGTATGAACTGAGTACACGAAAATTGTCGAGGTTGTGTAGGTACTCACGGTTTACAAAACGTAGTTTCATCCACCACCTCTCACGAAAATTATGAGGACTGAATAATCTTTGTCTCGTACTTTTATTATTACAGGGAATGGACGTCTTGACTATGCCTTTGAGTACGCTTCTAGGCAGCTGATAGACACCAGCCGACAATTAGTTCCAAAAATCGTTCTACTTCTCACAGCAGGTCGACTGTCCCCAGACCAATCCCTGAGATTGTCAGCCCAACCACTGCATGATTACGGTTTTAAAGTGTTCGTTGCCAAAATAGGCGACAAACCAGATGTGAATCAACTTCTTCCGACTGTGAAAGACAAGGCTTTTGTGATTTCAGTACCCTCGTTCGACGATCTTTCGCGAAGAGCGTTGCCTGTGGCTCAAAAACTCAGCAAACATACAGGTAGATAACATAACTGACTCTGCACCACTTTAAAATTAATGCGCAGGTCTTAACTTGGTAAGTCTTCGAGAGCATTTTAGCACAGAAGTAGAATAACGTTCTCCGAATTGAGTTTTGAGCCACCGTGCAAAGTAAAAAGGCTATTCTACACCAAAAATCCCCCAACTGATGATGCTTATGTTACCGAATGGGAAGCTTCTGCTTTTATTATTACCCCTGAGGTAGCAGAGTTTTCCGACAGCCTTTTTGTTGTAGGGTAAGACATTCGTGGAATGGAGTGTCTTGCCTTGCTCGAAAGCAAAATACTCTCGGCCAGAGGTTAAACTGGCAACCTGCCTCTCGTTCTAAAATCATACGTACCTGAAATAAAGCCCTTATCTCTACTCTCCACGCAGTAATCTATATCAAAATTTGTGTTAACTTTGTTTTCGAAATGAGCCTCAATCGAGCTCTTAGAATGTTAGAACCAACCACATCAACATCAGGTTTTGTATGCATTCGCAAAATCATCTCGAAGCACGAGACAACTCTTGTAGAGTTGTTGCTTTTAATACCCTTTTCTGTAATGCTAATTTTCATTTTTATTCTTGAAAAAATGTTTCATAATTTCTTTTCGCTTGTCAACTAAAATATGTTGAAGGTTTTCTGAATATGTTTTTCCAGATCCAGAACTACCATCTGACTTCCCAGGAGCAGATGTACTTTTCATGGTGGATTCGTCATCTGACATTTCGAGCAGCAATTACGAAAAACAGAAAGACCTCGTGAAAAATTTGATGAAAACTTTAGATTCCTTTTCATCCAAATCTCGAATCTCCTTTATAACTTACGGCAATAGACCTCGGGTGGTGTACGATCTTGACAACAATATGAATAGCGAAGCACAGCAGAGAGAAATAGACTCGGTGCAACCAATGGGAGGAAGACGGAGAATCGACCGCGCCCTTGAAGAAGCAGTTCAGATGATGCAAAATTCTCGGCCGGATGTTCCTAAAATCATACTTCTTGTTGCGGCCGGAAAACAGATTGAGGTAAGAAAATAATGAAAGCTATTATGTGGCAAGGAAGTTTCTCAATGAAAGAGAGTTCTCAGATCGTTTTTCTCCTGATCAGGATTTTCTCAGACAGGATGTTTCAATGGCAAAGGGTTAGATCCGTGTACTTTTTGTTTATGCAAACTGCAGATTTAAATTTTTCGACTTCAATTGCGGAGTTTAGAAGAAACCACTTAAAAGATTGATATAATACGAAACTTACGAGCTAAAAAGGATTCTAGTGAGAACTAGTCCATAGTATGCTGTGCTGTTCCTCTTTAGGAGTTCAGTAAGTATAAAGCGGGACGCTTCTTGTGGGTAATCGTGTATTTTACTGAATCAATTCAGCTTTATTCAGTTTTTCAATAACTTGAAACAGAGTAAAAATTTAGATGAGGAAAATCCTCATCAATTCGAAACCTAACCACCCTCTGTGTCGCCTTAAGTTCTCAGCAAGTAATTGGTGAACCTCAGCGTTCAAATCTTGACAAGGGTCTCAGGTTCTGGTTCTGCACCAGCTTTTTCATCATTTGTCATTCAACGACCTGGGCAAAGCTTGCCATTTCTTATCACTTTAGCATTAATTTAATCTGTAAGTGGTCCTCTCATTTGCTTAAACACGACATGATTTATTGAATTCTGTCGTTTATTATCAGCAAAATGGGGTACAACCCCTTAGCTCGTACGGTACAGCCCTTCAAAGGCTCGGTGTAGATGCTTTCGTGTTAGGAATTGGTAAAGACATTGAACATCGGGACCTGGGACAAGTTGTTCGAGACGCAAAGAATGTATTCCTGGTACAAATGTTCCAGAGTCTGAATTCAATTGACCGGCAACTGGCGTATGAAATCGTCACGCGGACCGTTGGTAAGTCACATAACATTAGGTCGTATTACATGAAGCCTCCATTAACGGAACAAATTCCGTTAAAATGATGAAATATCTCCCGATATGAAAGTTCTTGAAACAAGAACTGAAAGTATTGGGTGAACTGGAAACAAAGATAAATATGTATCAATCTTTGACATATATTGACATACTGACAGATTGAAATATTTCAATTCCTCGGCGCGGTGTTTGCGACAGAACATGTTGTGATCGTTGTAGGAATAACTCAGTAAAAATCATCCTTTTTTGCAATATCTCATGTTTTAGTATATAATTAAAAATATTCATCCCAGTGCCGGTGGCTAGCAGTGGATAAATACCTCGTCGCTTCGCGGCAAGGTAAATATTCACCACTGGCCACCTCCAATTCGGTATACAGTTTTAAGTATGAAACGTGACACGATCCAATATGCCGGCGCACACAAAATTTCAGTTTGAAAATTTCTACCAACAAATTTCTACTAAAAGTGGCTTTTGATAATTTAACAACCCATTGTTCCACTTGTGGAAGGATCCTTTGCTTTTTAAATCACATTCTCACGTATTACGCTTGGATACCTGCTTAACTGAGTTTTTTTGTAGTCTATAAGAAAGATTTAACTAAGTGAGCTGGTGGAGCCCATAAGTCATAACTGTAAAATACATCATACATGGCGTCTGCATATTTGCCGCAAAAACTTAAGACCGACAAAAAAACCTGTTAAATTCAGTATTTCTCGATTGTAACCCGTTTTTTATGTTCATGAAGTTTTGATAGCCAACGACTTGAATTCAGAATTTCTTTATCAGCGATTTTATCAGTTCTTGCAACTTCCAACAGATAAGTAATCACAACAAAAACGGGTCCTGCCCGGTTTAGGAATACGATGATTCCGCAATTTCCCACCTGCATGAAATTGTGTATGACATAAAGATAAAATTTCTCCAATCGCTTCTCCTTCATTTATAATATGTATCTTTTGTTTTTTTTTTCCTTCACTACAGATGGCATGATTGAAACTGATGTTATATTCGTCATGGACTCGTCCTCTGAGGTGTCACAGAGCGACTACGGGTACGAAAAGGAAGCTGTCAAATCCATGGCACGTTCCTTGAAAGTTCCTTCGGGTCAGTCTAGAGCTTCAGTCATAACATATGGAAACTTTCCCTCTCCTGTGGTCAAGTTCGATGGCTACAAGTCATTTCCCGCTTTTGAAAACCTTATCGACCGTGCACAACGCATTGGTGGGCGACGTCGAATAGATCTAGCTTTGGAAGATGCTGGTAAATTGCTGAGGGAGGCAAGGCCCTCTGTCCGTCAAAATGTCATTTTGTTGACATCTGGAAGAACACACCCTTTATCAAGAGACTTGTACGTGTCAGCGCAACGAATTTTCGGGAACAATGCAGACTTACTTGTCATTGCTGTAGGTAGAAGACCTAATTTCAAAGAACTCACTGCGATTGTACAGAAGCCGAAACATGTTTACAATGTGTCATCATTTTCCGACCTACGCAGAAAATCAAATGAAATAACAAAGATCGTCTCTCAAATGCCAGACAGTAAGTAGAAAAAGTGCGTTGGCTTTTCCAAATCATTTACAGCGGTAATCTTTATCAGTGGTAATGAATTAGGCCTTCCACTCGCCTGCTTGTTAAGAGAGAAATTGATAACCACGGATTAATGAACACTTGAATAATCATATAGTCATTCAAGCCACACCATTCCGCAATGGAACTGCACGTCTAAAATGAAAATGTACAAATTTAAATAAGGAAAAATTGAAATGGTAATGCTGCTGAAATTCGACATAAAAACGATCTTGTTGACCACGCACCTGTCTAAAAAAACGCAGAAAATTACCCTGATGAGAAGGAGCTTTTGGTAGTAGTGTAAGGACTGCCTAAAAAGCTTATTAGCTTAACAGGCAAAAGAAATGTAGATAAGCCGATTCAAAGAATTCTTACTCTGTCAAAAAATCTACCTTTTCTTCTCTAAACATGATCTCGAAAAATCCCATGAGAAGTTTCTTTATTATGTTCATCCACATTTCTTTTCAGAACCTACAATTTACAATAACTTCGTCGCAGACATCGTCTTCTTAATGGACTCCTCCTTGACTGTTGAACAAAAAGTTTATGACAGGCAGAAAAACTTCATCAAATCCATGGTGCGCTCCCTCAACTTGTCCACTGATAAATCGCGAGTTGCTGTTGTCAATTACGGAGGTGATTCAGTAGAAGTTGTTCGATTCTCGTCGCCGCAAGATGTAGCTGCTATCGAAAATAGAGTAAACAATGCACGAAGGGTGGGAAGAAAGAGGGACATTGCCAAGGCTTTGCAGTTTTCCGCCTCTCTCCTGGAAAAATCCAGACCAGATGTCTCTAAGGTGATCATCTTCCTTACGTCTGGGAGTGAGCTCTACCTCACGTCTCCATCCCAGGTACTCAGGGACTATGGTGCTGATAGATACGTGATCGCTATTGGATCAGATTTAGATGAAGAAGAGTTAACTCCCATTATAGACGAACCACGTGACATGTTTACCATGAGAACTCCTCCGGAACTCACATGGAAGACTGAATACATCATTGATGAAATTATCAAAAGAACAGGTAAGCTTTTTTGTTTGCCAGTAAGCAGTTGAATTCCGTTCCCATGGCATGAATCAACTAAAGTACTGCAATTCCTCTTGGATGAGATGCTTTTCCAATTCTTGTTGCCCCAAAAATCTCCTCTTCAGGCTCCATTTATCCTCAGCACACGAATGTCATGATTGATGTAAGATTAAACATTTTTTTTTCATTTTGTACAAATTGTAAATGATATCGGTGAAATTATGAAGAAACCTTTTTGGAAAACATTTGCTATAAGAAAACTTTCTTCACAAAGGGAAGCACAACCCAAATGTAGCACACCAAGGAGAAAAGTACAAATATCAATTTGCACACTCTTAATCGTGGCATGTAACAGAGCCCAAAGTCTTCTGGGTTTCACATTTTTATGAAACCATATCGTATTGGTAACAAAAAGAATAAACCTGACAACTTAAAACCTACTCCGGATTCATACTCAAGCATACACAGCCAGTTTCTTCGTATAAAATTACTCAATTCAAAGCGTCATTTTTTCATTTCAATATGAAGATTTGGTATTTTTTTTTTTTGTTTTGTTTTTTTTTTCTTCAGTTACCAGAACATCCGTTTTACCTCTTGACTTTGACGCTGACGTTTTGTTTCTGGTTGATTCATCTTCCGACGTGAGCCAAGAAAATTACAACAGAGAGAAGAACTTTGTTAAATCATTGGCCTTTATTCTTAACCTTAAACCTGGAAAAACACGTGCTGCAGTTGTAATATATGGCAACTTTGCAAGGACTGTGATCAGATTCACAGACTTCGCCTCCCTGTCATCTTTCTTTAGGAGGATCGATACACTGCCTTTCCTTCGAGGTAGAAGGCGTCTGGACAGTGCGCTAATCGAGGGAGGATCTGTCTTGGACACAGCTAGACCGTCGGCTGATAAAGTCGCCATACTTCTAACTGCGGGTCGGCATACTCAAGAAGTAGGAGCTCCGCCTTTGAATCAGGCCGTGGAATCGATACGATCACATAATGCAAAATTGTTCGTGGTTGCCATTGGTCAGCGAGTGGATGAGACGGAACTGAGACCATTGACAAGAGAGCCTATCGTTGTATCTGGATTCAACGTTTTGATAAGGAATTCAATCAGAATTGCCAAGGATATAAAGAATATTACAGGTATGCTGGCTTTTTCACCCATTGTTAAATTGTTAGATCTCACACACCCTAATTTTCATGGATAGCTTTTTTGCCCCTGTTTGACCTTTTAAGTCAAAACTATACTTTGCGATTCACCATAGCTTATCCAGCTTTGTCTGGAGCGTATCAATTAGTTAGCTGAAGTTCGGTTAGTTCTCCAAGCTAATTTATTCCCGACATTAAAATGCTTTTTGCTAAGGGGTAGTAACTAGTTGGTCATACAAATTAGAAAGATAAGTCGAACCAGAAAGGTAACGTTTTTATCTGAAGAAAACTATTACCTACCACATACATACGCAGGTAAAATAAAGCATTGTCATGAATGCATTGGATAAATAAAATTTGGATAAATAATTATTTTGAGTTGTTTCATATAACTAATCCAGTATTTTATCGATGCGAAAATTTCCCTAAGCAAAGCGAGGATTCCGATTTCCATTCTAGACTTGTCCCAGATGAGAACATTTCATTCGTCAAATCAGCATGGTTACACTATACGAAAGATCCACACTATGCTTTGATTGTTCGTGTAATGTCACGGTAAATAACTAAACGGTTTCGTACTGTTCCACCGAATTTCTTTCTTTGAACATTCCTCGACAGATCAAACAGACGTACCAAAAAGTCCAGGCGCGGATATAGTTTTTCTGGTAGACTCCTCTAGTGGCGTCACCGAGGACAATTTCACGAAGGAAAAGGCTTTTGTTACTTCCTTGGCGAAACAGCTCAATTTTGGGTCAGACAAGACGCGCGTGGGAATAATCTCTTACAGTGATTACGCCACACTGGCAGCACGCTTCGATGTCGTTAAGAACGAAGAAAACCTTCAAAGGTTACTCGATGGAATTAGACGGCTTCAAAGGGGTAGAAGAATTGATAGGGGGCTAATAAGGGCAGCTCAGCTATTCGGGGAGAGTAGGCCTAACGTTCGTCAGGTACTAGTGCTACTAACAAGTGGAAGACATACATCTAACGTGGAAAATCCTTTCCGGGACGCCGTGCAACGGCTGAAGACGAAAGGTGTCGACAGATTCGTTGTTGCTATTGGACCAAATCCAGATCCAGAGCTGACTGCAGTTGTGGAAAGAAGAGAAGACGTTATCTCAGTATTTTCCTTCGACAGCTTGCAGCCGCAGGTCATACCGATTGCAAGGCACATAAAAGGTTGGTTATATCACTCATGAAATATGAAGCTTGGATTATCCCAATATGAATAAAATTAGCGATAATACAAGCCACGTCTGTATATGTTCTCTGAAGGTGTCCACAAGCCAAGGGTTGCACGTTGCTAATATGTCGTGCCTAGCACAAGTTCGTAAATTCTTCTTGTTTTTGGATTATTCAATTTATTGAATGATAAATATGGATTTTAAAAAAACTCATACCTCAATAGTGATTAAAGTATTTGGTTGCTCTAAATTAAAAGAAAGAAATCATGTTGCATAGGAAATAGTACTTTAACCAGATCATCATCCATATCCGAGACACAATCCTGTCTTTGCTTGCTATGCAGAAGAAAAGATACCACCCGGCTTCAAGGCTGACATTATTTTCCTGATCGACTCTGCGTTTGAAGTCACTACCAACAACTTCAACAAACAGAAAGAGTTTATTAAGGATCTCTCAGCTTTTCTCAATCTCTCGTCACGTGGCTCTCGCGTGGCAATAATTCTTTACGCCTCCTCTCCCAGCCTAAAGATGGCGCTTGGAACACTGGAAACACCTGAGTCCTTGAGCCGTGGTCTTGACAGACTCGCACCTTTAACAGGAACGCGTAGAATGGACCGCGCCTTGGAGTTTGCCTCTTTAAAGTTTGACAACAACCGTCCTCAAGCGGTGAGGAAAATTGTAGTCCTCTTTGCCTCTGGTAAACAAGCTGGAGGAGGTAAACCCTTAAACGAGGCCGTGAAAAGATTACAAGAAATCAACGCAGAAACATACGTTGTAGCCATCGGTTCTCAAGTCAGTGAATCCGAGTTACAACCAGTTGTTTCTAGGAGGAATGACATCATTCGAGTGCCTTCCTTTGACAAACTCGCCTCCAAAGTAAAGCCTGTTGCTGATCAAATTATAAATGGTACGTTCTGATTGAATTTATTTTATACTCGGCCCGTGCACTCGAACCTTGGAATAAGCAGAGCTTCGTATTCTAGAGAGCATTTCATGAGAGCATAGAATGTTTACGTTTGAAATCAATGTTAGAGCTTGATTTACTTAGGCCAGTTTGTTTAACTTTAGTTAGCCACACGTTGAATTTCTGATTGCTAAAAGTGTTGCTGAGAAAGTTTCTTCATTTCCTTTAAAGATTAACAATTTTAAGAGGTAACTGCAGCAATGAGTGTGGCAAATTGTTACCTCTTCAGTTAAAACTGTAAATTTCTTTTGACATACAAAATCATGTTTAGAAATCAAGATCTGATAAGGTGAGACACCGTGACCACATTCTGCTATTAGCAACGGCCTTACGATTGCAGGCTCTTGATAAATATGACACTCGTTTGGGTGTAGCGTTTACATATTGAAATAATATCATATCATCCGCTTCTTCACCTAGGCTCAAGACCAATTCCACCTGAATTTAAATCTGACATCCTTTTCATAATGGATTCGTCATCCCCTGTCAGCCGGGACGACTTCCAAACCCAAAAAGACGTTGTTAAGTCGATTATGAAATCCTTTCACGTCAGACGCGGACAATCTCGAGCCGCTGTTATCACTTATGGTCGGTATTCGGAAAAGCTTTTACGATTCAACAGCTATTTGTCTCTAAATGACATCGAGAGTGTCGTAGACACAGCAACGAGTATTGGAGGCTCGCCCCGAATCGACGAAGTGCTGGTTGATGCCGCTGATGTCTTAAGAGATGCCATTCAATCAATCCCGAGAATTGTCATTATGTTTACAACTGTTCGCGACCTCACTGATAGACACAAGAAAGCTGTTGACAAAGCCGCGGAGGTGATTCACGATACGGGAGCCAGAGTCTACGTTATTGCTTTCGGAAAGGACGTTGATGATTTGAGTTTAAAAAAGCTGGCTGATTCTCAAGAAGATATTTTCAAAGTACCGACGATCAAAGATCTAAATGATTCAATGGCTGTGGAGATTTTCCGAAGAGTTGGTAAGTTTTTTATTTTCGGCGCATATAGTAATAGAACAAATCAAATAATTTTCATTTTTTTTTTCGCATTCATCTCATTCCATTTTCATACAGTCATGTTTGTTAATTTATATATTACATCAGTTGAACACCGATGCAGGATAAACGTAACCTCTTCTTTTACTTTTCAAACATAATTATATTGCATCAAGGCGTTGCAAACGACTTTTCCTGTGTTAGAAGTTAAGATCTTTTTTTTCGAAAATTAAACAGAGATAAGAGAACATCACTTTTACCATATATTAAACTAAATAGTGTTGCTCTTTTCATCTTTTCTGTAAGCCGCTGCTGCAATATCCAATGCGATAGAGAGAAACCGAAAAATCGTTCATTTTCTCTGTCTATTTTTTTATCATTTTGTCGTGTTAAATCTAGTTCTCTTTTAGGTTTTTAAGATTGATAGTCTCTCTCTTTTAAGCATTTCAAATGATTTACATTGAATTTTTTTTGTAATTATAACAGTGAAAGTGCTACTCGTAAAATCCTTACCTGCACTGGGTATTATGTATGAAAAGTGTCTCGTTAGTGTGCAGTATCTCTAACACAGGAATTCACCAGTTAGTTACTAGAGTAACTGGAGGTAATAAACACTTTTTTTCTCGCATCATGAAATGTAGAATTACCTAAACCAGTGGTACCAATGGATTTTACGGGCGATGTTATCTTTCTTGTGGACTCTTCCTCCGAAGTAAGTGAAGAGCAATTCAAGAAAGAGAAACATTTCGTTGCGTCGTTGGCTAAAACCCTTAACCTCCGTCCTGCAAAAACCCGAGGATCTGCGATAACCTATGGAAGATATGCATTGGTTGGAATCGAATTCAACGATCATCCAAACCCAGCAATGTTTGAGCAAGCTTTACAAGGACTCTACCCAATTGGGTATGAACGTAGAATGGACAAGGCTTTGCAAAAAAGTGCGGATATGGTAAAAGTTGCCCGTTCCTACGTCCCTAAAATCGTCGTTCTTTTGACAGCAGGACGTCAGAGCTCTCCAAGAAATACATTGCCTCAATCCGTTAAGCCGCTTAAGGACCATGGTACAAGTGTCTTTGTTGTTGGAATAGGCTCACGGCCAGATAGTCAAGAGTTACACGCTATTGTTGAGGAGCCTGGAGACGTGCTGAGGGTATCGCAATTTAATGACTTTTCTCCATCGAGGACGAGACAAATCGCGAGGCACATAGTGAGCAGAACAGGTGAAAACAATGTTTTGCTTATCTGAACTAAATAATAATTCCCAGCATAACAAAGAGATGGAAACCACACGTGTTTATTGGGTACTGGGCCACTTGTTTATTGACGAATTTCTAATCACACGTCAGCCTATCAAAATTCAGTTAATCATTGATGATCTTGTTGATTGAATAACTCTGAAAATTGTGAACAACGATAGAATGATAAATGTTGGTCCGCGCTAAGTTCTTTGAACGTTTTCTTAGGCTTACGTCTAGCTTAAATGAAGCATAATCTTTCCTGCCCTTTTTTTGCAATATCAATCGGAGTTTTCTGTGATGTTCGCTAGTTGAACGGTGAGGAAAACGTACGAAAAGCGAATCATAAAAGTGCTGAAATTGAATAACTGATAATCTCTCACAGGATGTGAACACTCAATTGAATTCAATTGAATTGAAATAAAATTTGGTGGAGTAGTGCATACGAATGATGAGCGAGCTTAGGAAAGTAAAATTTTTATGAGTCAAAACGATAACTTTCACGTGTAAAATGTAACAATTTTTTGACATGTTGAAAAATCTAACTAGGTCCTCGCTAAATTTTAGATATTCTTCCAACGTCTCCCTAGTGACACACTATGTACTCAGTTATCACTTCTTTCTAGGCAGCATTGCCACAGATTCAACGTTTTTCTTTCTAAGCAACATTACCACAGATGAACGTTTTTTTTTTTTTCATTCAGAAAATCGCACGCTAGACGTCGATGCTGACATCGTTTTCCTGTTGGACGCCTCCAGTTTTGTGTCTCGAGAAAACTTCGTAAAAGAGAAAGACTTTGTCAAATCCATGGCAAAAGTGTTAAATGTTGCTCCTGAGTCTTCCAGAGCCGCTGTAATACTAATTGGCACTTTTCCCGATACGAAAGTAACGTTCAATGAGTACCGCACTTTGAGAGACTTCAATGAGCTTGTAGATAAGGCACAGTCCTTTGGTGGTTCGAGACGAATCGATCGCGCTCTAGAGGAGGCATCAAAAGTGCTGGTGGACAGAAGGAGAGGTGTACCTCACGTTGTTGTACTCGTGACCGGTGGAAAGCAATCACAAAGTGGAAATAACATTCCCTTTGAAAACGCCGTTAAGCCATTAGATAAAATTGGTGCTCACACGTTTGTTGTTGCGATTGGGCATGATCCAGATACATTAAAAAATGTTTTACCGGTACCCTCCTTTAACGACCTTCAGTCTCGTGTTTACAAAATGGCAAGACAGATCAAGACCACTAGTGGTAAGTACTTTCATTATGTGGGAGGTTTCCCTTGCAATTTATCAAAGCTCCTGCAAAATGACTTTCAAAGTTCAGATCACCAAATACTACATTTGTAAAATTTAAAGACGGATTACTTTTGTTTATTAGTGAAGCCAGTATCAATCATTATCTCAAAATCTCATACCCCAAAACTCGACTTTTGTAGTTTGGAGAGTTCAGGTACCCCTTTGGGATATCGCAGGTACAAAGTATTTTAAAATTCTGGAACGTCAAGCGCGGAGGGTTAGGAATACTTACTGATCTTCTTGCGCCATAAGTTTAGATTTGCCAGCAAAGAAGTTATCAAAAATTGTTGAGAGGGTATTTAGGGTGACATTATGTCACATATTTTGGTATACCAACCCCATGATAGCTTGATAGCTTTTATTCATGTAAGTTAATACTGTATGAAGCGTAAAACATTATTATAATGACTTTGTCAATACATATATTATTGATGACTGATTGCGATTTTTTTCCCCATTTTAGAGCCAAAACCAGCAAATATCTCCGCAGATATCATTTTCCTTATGGACTCTTCAACTTCTGTTGACCGAGGGGGGTTTGATAAACAAAAGAACTTTGTGAAATCCTTAGCAAAGTACTTCAATGTCTCACCAAGAAATTCCAGAGCGACTGTTGTCGCCTATGGTAACACCACTCGCACCGTTGTCAAATTCAGTGATTATCAGTCGGAAACAAACTTTAACGACATGCTTGATAGACAGCCGTGGATAGGGGGTGACCGACGTATCGACCGCGCTCTAAGGACAGCGGAATCCTTAATGCGCCAAGCACGTTCAGAAGTTCCAAAAATCCTTATCCTACTCACAGCAGGTAGGCAGCCCAGAAGTCCTGATGTTACGCCAATTGGAATAGCTGCCCAGCCATTGAGAAATATGGGAATCAAGAACATTGTTGTCTCGGTTGGAAGCGAAATAGATCGCAAAGATCTGCTTGGTATGGTTCAAAGTTCAGATGACATATTCAGCGTGGCGCTGTTTGATGACCTTCGCTATGAGGTGCAGCCAGTTGTGAAATACGCTGTTAATTTTTTCGGTGAGTAGTTTGAAAAACATAAGCAGCAGCCTGAAGATGACATTTGTTCGGCTCAACAAAATTAAATATATTTACCATTAATAGTTGAACTAAAACCTCCTGCGTCAACAATTGTATCTGTATAGTTTAATATGAATCCACTCAAAATTTGTTTTGATTAAGGGTTAAGGTTCTTAAGAAACTGTGGTGCTGAGTAGGTGATGACTTGATTTTGATAACTTAGTTGAAAATGTAAGTTTGCCACCATAAAGAGCTTCTAGAGCTGACGTTTCGAGCATCAGAACGTCGTCAGAACGAATGACGAAAGGCTAGCGCCCGAAAACTCAGACTCTTTACCGTGGCCAATTTACGCAATAGGTAGCTCAGTCGAAAAAACCAAATTATCTTTTTTCTTTTTTGCTTAGCTTGAACAACGTCTCAAAATTGAAGCTTCCTTCCTGTACACTTTACATAACTCAGAACTAATTTATTTTGTAAGATTCTACTACTACTAGATTTTACCGAGTGGTTTGATGAAAATTTCATGCTACACCTGCATGTGCTAAAAAACCTTACTAAAAGGGACTTCAGGTCGGAACTCTTAAAAATCTTTATCACTTTGGTGCCATCTTCTGAACTCTTTTCATCCGAATCGGTGTATGAACATTGTTCTAGTAATGTTAGACTGTGTTAAAAACATAGCGGCTGCCTGAGAACAATTTTCTTTACCAATTGATCAAAGATCTAATTTAGATCACGGGTCACCGGTATCTCTTGACTCAGAAATGAAAAACAACACAAAAGAGATAAAACTCTCATTGACTAAGTTTACAAAATTCTAGGTGCTTACTTGTTTAATTGTTTATTTCTTTTACCTCTCTTTTTACTTCATCAGAATTGCCCATCTTTGATATAAAGGCAGAAGTCCTCTTTCTATTAGACGCCTCAGACCAGACTGGGCGAGAAAACTTTGAAAAACAAAAAACGTTTATCAAACTACTGGCTCGATCTCTTAATGTGTCTCCCGGAAAATCCACCGCGGCGTTGATAGCATACTCCTCAACTGCAACAATTAACATACCTTTGGGTAGTTACAACACTGTCCAAGAATTTGAACGAAACGTGGATAGGACACGTTTCCTTGGAAACTCTAGGAAAATGTATCGAGCATTGGAAGAGGCGGCTTACTTATTTCAAAATGCAACAGAATCTGACGTTGAAAGAAAGGTCATTCTGATAACTGGTGGGAGACAGACATCAGACGAAGATGAGGAGCCATTGGAAAAATTTAAGAAGTTGCTTCTTGATGTTGGAGCGCTCCCATTCATCGTTGCCATAGGGAAAGACCATGACAACCAAACACTGAGAGCAGTTGTTGAGGATCCCGGCGATATTTTCAGGGTTCCAACGTTCATTGAATTGTCATCTTCTGTATCTTCCACTGCTGCCAGGGTAGCTAACAGGAAAGGTCAGTCACTTCCGTTTTTGCCATTCAAAGTATACATTTCCTTTTTCTTTCTGGTCGAGAACCTACCGAGTGACCTGCAAACGACTGCGTAGAAATGATCGACAGTACTGTCTGAGCGGGATTATTTTTTTAAATCGTAATTTTTCTCAATCCAATAGCGGGTCATAAGGGTGTCAGATCATAATTATGACCGAAAATCACCAAGAAAAACAAACGCTTATCAAAGGATGAAACAACTATGTATAGTCGCTTGTCCTATTAACGAGCTTAAACATCGTAACTTATTAAATTGTATGCAATTTTCGATTGGGAATTTTGTGATTTCACAGAATACAGAGATGTTACTTACTTCTAATTCGCACACGGTGTATTTTAGACATTAAGTTTATTTAATACAGTTTTGACACAGATCTTTCATTTGTATCATTATTAGCGCCTCCCATAATACAAGACGAATACATTATCTTCCTCATGGACTCTTCATCTACCGTGCAGCGAGAACAGTTCCAAAGACAAAAGAACTTCATTAAGTCTTTGGCAGAATATTTGCAAGTTGGAAGCTCTGATAAAACCAAGGCTGCCGTCATCAACTACGGAAGTGTCCCTTCAGGAATAATTACGTTTGATGATTACACGAATATTCGAGGCTTTAAAAGTGGTATTGATGGGATTATTCCTGTTCGAGGAAGCAGACGAATCGACCAAGCCCTCGGCGAGGCTGCTGTCATCCTGAGAGGAATTGATCAATCGTCCAAGAAAATTCTTGTACTTCTAACGGCTGGGCAACAGGCTAAAGAATCTGATGTTACCCCTCTCGATGTGGCTATCCGACCAATACGAGACATGAAATCCCACATGTACGTGGTCGCACTTGGAAATGACCCCAGCACGCCAGAGCTTCGTCCGTTAGTGGCAAAACTGGAGGATATGTTTCGTGTGCCATTTAATTTCATGGAACGTATAGTGCCAAGTATCGTTGATCACATACGTAAAGGTATTTGATTGCTGAGTTTCTTCACTACTTAACATAAAGAAACAAAAATATCTGAAAAGTACACGACGGCTGCACTTCTGCAAGCGACCTCTCTTTAGTATTTTATATCATTTAACGGTGTTTGTTTTGGTTTTGGCCTCGATGAAGCGCAAGTGACAAACGTATTGACCACCATAACGCTGGACATAATCAGCGTCAAGTGAAGAGCTGCCGGTTTGATGGCCGAATGTTACGATTGAGGAGAGTAACTTTTCTCAATTTTGGTTGGTGATTCTTGTTCATTTCATGAAGTTGTGTATTCGGTTGTTTGGTTACGTAAGTTAATGATTCATTTGCAGAGTGAAAACTTCTGTTGGCTTGTAATTTTTCAGCAGCTGTCAGCATCCTTTAAATTAATTTTTTTTTTGTCTTTGTTACTCTGTTTACGTAAATTATTTTTGTCAGTCGTGTCCTATCAAGGGAAAACAACTCTAGAACGCTAGAAAATTCGGCTTAACAATTCTCTGCTCCATTTTGATATAATCATAGGTACTAAGTTATTGAAATTTAATGCACAGATTGATGTCTTTTAATTTACGTGCATGTTTCAGAAAATCCGTACCCTGGGCCCACACACGACGTTGTGTTTCTAATGGACACATCTGATGTTAGCAGATCCGATTTCTACCAAGAGATCCTCTTTGTGAAATCTTTAGCCAGGGAACTGAGTGTAACTCCATCTGAATTTCAAAAGGCTGTTGTCAGCTACGGAAACAAATATTCGCAAGTAGTGCGTTTTGACAGTTATGACTCTCTCAGGGATTTCTACACTTCCATCGACGCCAGTGTCTATCAAGCTGGAGCGAGAAGAATGGATAGAGCATTTGAGGCGGCGTCGATGATTTTGTCATCAAGAAATCCAGCATCAAAGAAAACAGTAGTTCTTCTGACCGGCGGTAGCAACTCTAGGGAGGCTGACCCCAACTCTCTTGCACGTTCAGTTCAACCTTTGTTCAAAATGGAAGCAACTGTTATAGTCTTGGCATTCGGCAACAGATACGATGTTCAAGAACTTCTTCCAACTGTGAAACACCCGAAAGATGTTCGCCCAGTGCCGCAAGCTTATGATCTTGTCCGATACGTCAGCGAAATTTCAAAGCGCATCATTAACGGTGCCGATGGTACGTATAGTGTAGATTGTCTTACTTTTTATGCACCATTTGCTATCATTACAGATAATGGCTTACAAGTCAACCGTGTAGCGATGTCAAACCGGTGTATTTATTTTTTGCAGGTTTGCTTTTTTTATTACCCATCTTCGGAGATCCACGCGTAGCTTTCGAAGATAGCGACCTTTCTTCCTTCATATAATTAACTGAAATAATTATTTTCATGTAAAAATAATAATAATAACAGGCTATATGTTCCAGCATTGCCAATCAATCAAATAGAACAAACCTTTAAGAGTTGCGCCAAAACCGCTCCAATGGAAGATGAAGAATAAATTTTAACTTCGTATGGCAAATTGCTTTTGCGGAAAACTTGACAAATATCGTCAACTGTTCAATCATTTTTCCACGTGTGATTTGTCTTCCTCTGTTTAAAAATCTCATTCTTCTTCGAAAATTAGCGATACTTATAATCATGAAATATTTTCTTTGTTGTTTATAACCGATGTTCATGTACTCTCCCTTTTAATGGAAAGCTGTTTCAGAGCCCAAGACACCAAAAATGGATGCCGATATCCTATTCATCATGGATTCTTCTTACGAAGTCAATCAAGAGGAGTACAAATCTGAGAAAGACTTCATCAAGTCTCTTATTCGAAGCCTGAACGTGTCGTTGGATACATCTCGTGCGGCCTTGATTTCCTACGGTGATTTGGGGTCACTAAACTCCCGTTTCATTGGCCTTAAAAGCCTCTCTGACTTTGATAAGTTGGTTGACAATGCTACGTACGTTGGCGGAGAAAGAAGGATTGACAGAGCCCTGGAAAAATCGACACAAATTCTGAACGAAGCAAGAGCCGGATCGTCCAAGTTTGTGATATTCCTCACTGGTGGAAGACAAGCAAGTAGCGGAAAGCCTCTTGACGAAGTGGTGGGACCGCTTCGCGAAAACGGTGTCAAAACGTATGTCATTACTATTGGAACGAAATCAGATGCGCAGGAATTGAGACCACTTGTCGCCTCTCCAGAAGATTTGGTTTCATTACTTTCATTTAAGGAGTTAAATTCTCATATATCAAAGATTGCAAGTCACATAAGTGAGAAAGCAGGTAAATAAGAGGCAAAACATTAATGATAAAACGCAAGTGGTAGTTTCTGTATACGTTTCGATACACTTTTTCCACCATCATAAGTGGTACTGAGACAAAATCAGCTATCCAAAAGGTAATTTAAAAACGTAAATATATGCCATTTTCTACGGTGTAATCTAAATAAAACCTTGTCATTGTTCGATAGAAATTCATTTAAATCTTTCAGTTTCATAGAGCTCCTATTCGAGTGTATTTTCCTTCTGTTCCATTGCAATTGGGATAAATTCGTGTTATTACGTGTTATTATGAGTTATCACACTTGTTGGAAAGCGCAACAATCAATTTCTTCTATTAATCTCATTATTCTTTTTTAATATGGATACGCCATCCCAAATCTTTTACCGTCTGCCATAAAATATAGTGAACACTCCCTTCCTTCTCAGGACAATTAAAAAAGAGAAGTTGAATTAGTATTTATGAGCATGGTATCACAACGCTGAGGTATAGCGCCAAACTATTGGTAGGTCTCATATTTCAAGTAGTGACAATTCAAATTCGTTACGTCTCCTTCTTCTCCATTTCGTTTCAGTTTGTTTGAGACCAGATTACATCTTAGACGTCGTTTTCCTCATGGACACATCAACTGAAGTCGACGATCTGAGCTTAGACAAGGAAAAGGCATTTGTCAAGTTACTGGCTAAGTGCCTTAATGTCTCACCAGGGAAATCGCGAGCTTCTGTGATCACATTTGGTACCACTACTTCTCGTGAAATTGATTTTAACAGTTATGAAAGTACACAAGCATTTGAATCGTTAGTAGACCGCATATCATCCATAGGCGGAGACCGTAGGATAGATAAGGCCCTCGAAGCTGCAGCAGAGGTTGTTGAAAACTCACCTCCCTCCGTCCCCAAATTGGTTGTTCTTTTGACAAGTGGTCCACAACCCGCGAATGCTCTATCTTTCTCTGAGGCTGCAATACCCCTGCACTCAATAGGCGCCATGTTTTATGTTGTTTCCATTGCCAATGATCTCGACAAGAAGTATTATGAAGCGCTTGTGGATCACCCATCACAAGTGTCCCAGGCGTCCTCTTTTGGATCACTGAACTATGTTTTGCCAAAAGTGACACAAGGGGTGGAACAGGGTGAGTTGTAATTTTCTTAAAGTTTGAAGAGGATGTGTTTAGTTTAGCACAAAGTGATATTTCGATTGACATTCGTGTACGTTACTACTTATTTTTGGGAAGCAATGTATCCAAAAGGTACTACATAAAGTTGGTAACTTCATCATTTAATGCGTCTTTGCTATGAATACTTTTGACAGTATACCGCGTTCAGAGTCTTTAGAAGTGTTGAAGCCTTAATTGCTAAAGAGGTTTTAAGCGATCCCATAACACACCGTCATGCTAAAAACAAGGCTTTTTCTTCTTGAAGGTGCCAGTAGCCGAATGCATTTGAATGCTGACGTTGTATTTCTGATGGACGCCTCCACGGCGGAGAACACAAGATATTTTCAAAGTCAGAAAGACCTCATCAAATCAATAGCAAGGAGTATTGGAAGTTCACCTGCTAAACTGCGTGCAAGCTTGGTCATATACAGTTCTTCTGCAACTGTGTTAGCAAGTCTAAATTCTTATACTAACTTGCAGAAATTTGAAGTAGACGTTGACAGGGCGCCATATCTCAGAGGTATGTATTGCCATGTGCATGAAATTTATAAACGAAATAACAATGGGTGGTAATAAACATCTCAAATGATAGGACGCGTGAATGAAAGTCTGAAACTCATGAGCTGCCTGACATACGGACTGACTTGCACATCGACTGACGGAATGACTGACTGGCTGTTTAATTTGGTTTTATGGACTGAGTTGATATTGTAAATTGGCCACCGTTAATACTTGCTAAGCCCTTCATCTATTTGCTCCAACGAAGGGCTAACGCTCGAAACGTCAGCTTCAAAAATTCTCTACGATGACCAATTTACATAACAACTGAGGTAATCAACCAAATTTCCTGTTAAACCCCAACCGACGCCGCACCAAAGTTTCTTTAGAAACTTTCTCTCTTTATCCATATGGACCATTTGACTGGCTGATTTATGCACTGACTGATAGATTAAATGACGGACTGATTGACTACCGAACTGACTGATTGACTCATTGACTAACTGACTAACTGACTGACTTACTGACTGGCTGACTGACTTACTGACTGACTGACTGACTTACTAACTAACTGACTGACTAACCTGTTCAATAACTGACTGATTCACTAACTATGAAACCTAGTTACTGGTTAGGATTGAATTTCTGGTTGACTGACCGACTGACTACCCGATTTACTAACTAACTCACAAATTGCAAAGCCGAATACCGTCCAATACATTCTTTAAGTCTACATTTTGTATCGCGTTCTTTCACCTTTTTGCAAAAATTCTAAACTCACGTTATCACAATACTGTTTAAATTGGAACTTCTTTTACCTGATTGTTGTCTTTGCTTTAGGCACAAGACGAATGGACTTTGCTCTTGCAGCCGCTGCCCGACAGCTGTCGCAATCGAGACCAAACGCCGCGAAGATTGTCATTCTGATCACTACCGGACTACAGGCTCAAGTGGTTGGCATGAAACCTTTAGATGAGGCATCCAAACCATTACGCGAAGCTAACGCTAACATATTTGTGATTGGCATCGGTAAACAGCCCGATCTCCGAGAGCTTGTCCCCGTCACGAACAATCCTGTCAAGATCATTCCAACCCCAGACAGGGTCATCGTTAACCTACATTTGTGGTTAAGGCAACTGAGACAGCAGGTCAACAACGGTATGAGGACAGTTTAAATGAACTTTATCGAATATCGAATTATTTTATGAGGTCGAGTAGCTCCATAGATTAGTTCTTCGTCCACTGATCTCGAGTTGGTGGGAAATTTATTCGGTTTCTGTGTCTAGGTACATGTATGTATTAATGTTCGTACGGCCCCGCGCACGCAATCCCACTGAATGCCCTGGTGACAGCTGACGTGTATAGGGCTGGATTTTTTTATGTGAGCCGTGAGCCTTCCGGCCCTGCACTCATAAGGCTCTTTTGCATTTTCCGAAATGTCGATTGAAGTTGTGGATTTCACCTTGAAATAGAAAAGATGTGAAAATCAATCAGGGTTCTGGATGAAAAATGAGTTTTTGACTCCTTTTTTTGTAGAACCTTGTTGGTACTTTTCCAGTGCGCGCCCTTCTAATGTATGCAGTTATACGTCTTTTCAGGCTAGAACAAAAGTTTCCGAATTTTTAATACTTAGTTTTCATATGATAAAATGCTTATTTCCTTCCTCGTAGAAAAAGAATCACCACTCATATACAAGGCAGATCTCATATTTCTTTTGGACTCGTCCAACGATGTCAGCACTAAAGTTTTCAAAGAACAGAAAGACTTCATCAAGTCAATCGTTGGAAAATTCCTTATCGCATCGAACAAAACCAGGGTGGCGGTGGTTAGCTACAGCTCTAGAGCTTCATCTGTTATTACTTTCAGCACCTTTGATAACCCTCTCGATCTGGTTAGAGGCATTGATAGCATTCGGTACGTTGGTGGTATCAGGCGAATGGATGCAGCCCTTAAAGAAGCCAACAAACTTCGAGAAACAGCTCGATCAGACGTCCCGATCTATGTTATATTTCTGACGGCTGGCCGTCAAGCATCGACAGCAGTTTCTACTCCACTCGACAGGGCGGCGCAACCAATACTTGACTCCACTGCACGTATGTTTGTTGTGGGCATTGGCTCTCGTCCCGAGGAGATGGAATTATTTTCCATGGTGGAACGTAGTAGAGATGTCTTTAGGTTTCCCTCAGAGAAAATGAAAGAAGAAGTTCCCTTGTTTGTGATTAACATGGCTTCCCAAACAGGTATACATGGACTGAAACATGTAGGCATAATCAATATACTGTTGTGATGATTTTAAGTGCTCTTAGCGCAGGATTGCGCAAATAATTGAACAACTAACAACTGATAAAACCCCCAAAATCTGAACATAAGTCGGAGCCATTTTAACAGTACTCCTGCTCACCGCTTCAGGGTTTCGTGGATAACACGGAAGTATCAGTGCGATCTGCAAGTAAGAGTTTCGCCGCCCTTATTGTATCCTGAAAGCAGTCACGTTGCCTACTAAGTCTTTTGCCTCATCGTAGTTTCATGACAGAAAATTGGCTAAGAATGCTACCTCATTTTTCAACTGCACTTTTACCTTTTAAAAGTTTTTGAACCTAGCCTTCATTAGATATTTCACAACTATTTACCGAAGTGGAAATAGCTAGAGGTAAATATTCACCGTTAGCCACCGACGCTAAGGTCAATATTTGTTTAAGTATATACTAAAACGGTGAGATAATATAGCTCATAGAAAATTTTTAATTAATCTATTTCTGAAACGATTGCAACATTTACGGGTGCAAATCCCGCGCGAGTTTCTCTGAGGTGAATAGCAAAAGAGATTCGTGGTTTGAGCAGCCAGTTAAAGTGTGTCTTCAAGGCTATCCACTGTTTTAGTATCTACTAAATATATATGAAATACTATGAGGTTGACGCACTCACTTGAGTGTCAGGGAACATTTTCAGTTCATCCAGAAATCAAAGATGTACTTGTTTCTATTTACAGGTGCAACAGTTCCGAGAGACTTTAAAGCTGATATTCTGTTCC